GGCCTCGGTGCCTGCCGGGGGGAGCTGGCACGGGGTGCCACGTCCTGTGCTGCCGGGGGGGGTACAAGGGGCCAGAGAGGTTCCCCGCTCCGTTAGGCACCCGATGAATAAAAGATGAGCGAGCCCCGTCTCGCGAGCACCTGCCGTCCCCCGCCCTCAGCACCCGCTGTCCCCCCGCGCTGGCAGGCGCCGTGCCCTCCCCGGGGCCGCAGTTGCCATCCTGGCCGGGTGCCCGGCTTCGTGCTGCGCTGGCAAGGGACAGCTGGGGCAGCAGATGCCCACGGTGCTCCCTCCCGCCGGCGGCCGTGGGCACGGAGGGGCGAACAGATGTCGGCAAGCCCCCGGCGTGCCTGCCCCTGCACCCCCGTGCGGGGCTGGCATTGCCAGCTGGGGCCTGGGGTCCCCTGCCACGCTGGCCCCTGCGCTGGGGTCTTGGCCAGCCCTGGGGAGGGCTTGAACCTGCCTCCCCATAGCCCTGCGTGGTGGTGAGCCGGGGGTGGTGTTACGGGGTGTCAAGGGGGGCCATGGTGGGGGCCCGTGGGACTCTAGAAGGGGGCTGGCTGTGCTGTGGGGCTGTGCTGAGCTGTGCTGCGCTGTGGGGCTGGGGTGGGTGGGGCAGCAAGATACGGGCAGCATATTTCCCTTTCCCCGTCCCTGTCCCTTTCCCTTTTTTTCCACTTTCATTTCTTCCTTCCTTTTTTCTTTCTTCCTCCTTTCCTTCCTTTCTCTCTTTTCTCTCTCCCATCCCTCTCTCCTTCCTCTCACGCCCTTACAGCAGCTGCACCCCCAAGTGCCCCCAGCCCAGGGCGTAGGGGCTGGGTGCCAGCACCCCGCAGCGGGAGGGTCCCAGGGAGGGAGGGGGGGGCTCAGCCATCCCTTTGTCTGCCCCGCTCTCCCCGTCCCTTTGCCCGCTGCCATCTGTCCCCGCTCGCCTCCGCGGGCGCCGGCAGCCCTGGATGGAGCCCAGGCCTGGCAGGGCTGAGCGAGGGGGCGGCCGCGCCGCCCGCCTGGGGGGGTTCCCCCCGGCCGCTGCCATCTCCCCGTGCCGGCCGGGGTCGGCCGAGGACAAACCCGCTCGGCTCCCAGCGCCGCTCGCTCGCAGCCGTCGGCCAACGTGCTCTCCCCTCCCAGGCTCCCGCCCGGGCCAGCTGGCCGCGGCCGGCGTACGTGGCAGCGGGGCGCGTCCGTCCCCCCCGCCACCGCCCCGCCACCTCGGGGGATGCCTCCGGCCAGGACCTCCCCGGGGCTTTGCTTGCCGGGGGGAGCAGAAGCTGCCGCCCCCGCGAGTGCTCGTGGCTGAGGCCCAGCAAACTCGTCTCACTCCGGGCATGGCGGGGGGTGCCGGGGGGGGAGCGGGGCGTTGTGAGGAGCAAGGAGGAGGGGTCCCGCACCCCGGCGCGCCGGCCGGCCCGGCTGAGCCAGGATTTACCCGGCACACGCGGCGGTTCAGGGTATTATATAAAGGAGGTTACACAAGCGGGACTGTTCCGGGTTTATGTAAGGGCCACCCCAGCCTGGCGGCAGCGGGATGGACAGGGGGACAGGCAGAGCCGCTCGGACCTGGGGGGCCACTGTGGGACTGGGAGGTGCTGGGGGTCTGACAGGGAGGGGCCCCCGATTCACACCCCTCGCACAGCGTCTCCCACCCCAGCCCTTGCAGTGGGATCACTGCCCCACGGCACTCGGGCTCCCTCGGGTCTCCAGGGGTCTCCCTGACCAGACAGGGTCCCTCCCTGGCAGCTCCTGACTAGGCTGTTCACTCTGGGCCCCCCTGATTCCCGCTGTGGGGAAGGCGGCTGGATAAGCACCTGAGGAGGTGCTGAGGCCGTGTGGCCACCAAGCATGAGGCAGGGGGGCAATCTGCCCCCAAAGCCAGCCCCAAGGGAAACTGAGGCACGGGGCAGGAGCCTGCAGGCAGCGATGCTGAACCCTCATCCATCTCCTGCCCTCGGCTGGCAGGGCTGGAGGAGGAGGAGGAGAAGGAAGGCTGCTGCCCTCGTCGGGGGGCTGGGGCCGCACCCAGCGGCGCCAGCGGCTCCCCCAGCCCCCATCATCCCCCAGCCTGTGCGCCTGCGCCGGTGCCGGTAACACCGTGCCCTGTTACCGTCAGCGCTCGGGCACCGAGCCAGGGCTCTCCCGCAGCTGCGCCAGCCCCGGGGGGCACCCGGTCTGCAGTGACACCCCCCAGGGCCGTCCCCGCTGCCCGGGGGTCGTTCCCACGCGCCGAGGCTGCGGGCGGGTGCCGCCGTGGGGCCGGGGGCACCCTGCCAGCCAGCGGGGCCGGGGTGCGGGATCCATAATTCAATGGGTGGCACAGGGCCAGGCTGCCAGCGCGGCCCGGAGCCCAGGCACCCGCGCCCCCCCCGGGCACACACTTGGCTATTTTTGAAAGCGATTGGATCGACCTGTTCGGGCACTCAATGCTCTCCTCCGCCGTGCCGGGGGGGACCCTGGCACTGAGCCCCCCTCCCTGAGCTCTCCGCAATGTGGCACCAGGGCCCCCCCAGCTCCATCCCCCATCCCGGCCCCAGCGGGGTGTGGAGGGTGCAGGATCAGTGAGGGGGGTAAGGAGGGGCTTCACAGGCTTCTTTCTCCTTCACGGTGCAGCCCAGCCACTTGTTGGTGCCTGGATTTGGTGCCCCCCCCCAAAAACGCCCCTTGGGGGGAGCGAGGAGGGGGGAGCCCAGGGCTCCCTTCGCCATTTTAGCGCACGCCAGCCGCAGGCAGCCATCACATGGCGGTGAGAGCAGCGCTTGGCCCGGCCGCCCCGCGCCGAGGAGGCAGCCAGAAATCTGCTGGCGAGCTCGCCCGCCCAGCCACGAGGATCACCCACAGCCGGGGGTACCGAGCCCGCGGCCCCAACCTCGCTGCCTCCACCGGCGGGGACACCAGGGAGCAGGGAGGGGCTGGTCCTGCTGCCAAACCTCGGAGCTCGGGAAAGTCCCTGGTGCTCCTCGGGCTGCCAGGGGTGGGACTGAGGTGCTGGGCTTGGGGGCAGGCCCTCGGGGTGCCCCCCTGGGAATGGGGTGGGTGGCGTGGCATCGATGGTGCTGGGTCGGGGGGATGCTGTGGAAGGGTGTGGGGGTAAAGGGACATGGGGAGCACCGGGGGGTGCCCAGGGCGAGTGATGGCCCTGCTGGGTGCCCTGGGGGAACGGAGGCCAGGCTGGGGTGGTTTGGGGGGACAAAGGTCCATGCGGGGCATCTCGGTGTGAGCAATGGTGGGGGGTCCCTGGGCTGAGCCGAGGGCTGTGTGGGGCACCTCAGAGCCACCGGGTGAGTGCATGGCCTGGGGGGCTGCCGAGAGAGCGAAGACCCCAGGATTGGGCAAGTGGGTGCCATCTGGGGGGCAAGCGTGGCACCGGGGAGCCCTGAGGCCACTGTGGGGGGCTGTGGGGAGCCGAGCCGGCCTCGGGCTGTGACCGCCAGCCTCCGCCCCGCGCCTTGGCCGGGCTCCACCACTAACCACTTCCAGAGCCGCCGCCAGATTTGTTGTTTTTAGAGGCGAGGAGGGGCCATGTCCGGCCACGCGGTGCCCGTGGTCGCGCGGGGGGTCCCGCCACCACTCCCCCGTTCCCAGAGGGTTTGTGCCATGCTCGGTGCCACCACCCACTCCCCAAACACTCGGGCACGCGGCAGCTTCAAAATGGGGGAAAGAGGGAAAAAAGAAAAGTGGAGAGAAGCGGGAGGGGGAAAACCCCCGCGCCCGTTCCCGGGGGAGTCTCTGCTCCCTAAAATGGCTGCCTGGAGGGAGCCAGGCCTGCGGGCATGGGGGGACTGGTGGCAGGGTGCCACGGGGCTGCCGGCGTGAGCGGGGTGCCAGGCTGACACGGGATGGGTGGAGGGGAACGCGGCAGCTGGGCAGGGAGACAAAATGGCTGATTCGGCGTCGGCGTTGAGCAGTCCCGGGGCGGGTGTGGGCACATGGGAGTGCTGGGGCGGGAGGTGATGTGGGGGGGTGTCAGGGTGGGGAGCGGCACAGCCCCACTGCCCGCATGGATAGCCTGCCCAGTGGGCAGCATGCAGAGGTGTCGGGGTCGGGGGGGCACGGTGCTGCTGCCCACAGGGTTATCCTGCCCAGCCAAGGATAACCACCCCGGGAGCCACGTGAGCACGAGAGACTCAAGGGAAGAAAGGAAAAGGGGGAGAAAAAGGGGGAGAAAGGGAAAAATCCCAAGGCGCACAGGCGGGCTGGCAGCGGCGGCAGCGTGGTTTTGATGGTGTTTTTGGATTGTCTCAGCCCTTTCCTGGCATCTGCCAAGGCTGTGAAAGAGAAATGCCGAAGGCCAAGGGGTGGGAGGAGGAGCAGGAGGAAGGAGGAGAAGTGGAGAAAATGCAAGGCAAAAGTTTTGGAAGGGCTTTGGGAGCAGCCAGGTGAGGAAGGATGCTCCTGAGCGCGGCGGCTGTGCCGTGCTGTGCCGTGCCAGGGGGTGCCAGGGCCGCTGAGCTCAGCGTCTGAGCCAGGTTATTTTTAGCCAGGATGGAGCGGTGCCGGATGGGGCTCCAGGGGTCAGAGCAGGTGCTGCCCTGGAGCCCTGCTGCCCTCCGGAGGGCTTGGCAGAGGCAGGACGAGGTGCCACAGGTGATGCCATGCTGCGGTGACAGTGCCCAGTGGGGCAACGATGGATCACAGATGTGGCTGGAGGGAGGAGAGGAGGCAGGAGGGCAGGAGCGTGGCCAGGGACCATCACCCTGCGCCAGGGGCAGGTCGAGCACTGGGAGTTTCCCTCGTACACAGAGCAGTGCCCAGATCCTGCGATGCCAGCGCAATGCCCTGCCTGCTCCTGTTGTTGGCAGGGAGGCCGAGGTGGGGCCAGTTGGTGGCTGTTCCCCAGTGCTGGGGACGTGCCAGCTCAGTGGTGGCCCTCCTGTGTGGTGGGAGCTGCTGGGCAGCCTGTGCCTCGGTTTCCCCCCAGCAGAGCAAGGAGGGGGCAGTCAGCTGGGGGGCAGGCCCGGCTCCCGCCAGCACGGGGCTCACCCCACTGGGTTTTCCTCTTGCAGATGCAGAGCAGAGCAGCAGCCCCCGGACAGGCATCGGCTCGGACCAGGAGGACAGCAAACCCATCACGCTGGGTGAGCAGGACAGGCAGGGCTGGGGCCAGGGGACGAGGGACTCCTCAGCCCAGAGTCCCTGCCATGGAGGGGCCCCCTTGACCAGCAGTTGTGCCCCCCGTGCTGTGGCTCTGGTGCCCCCCAACCCCAGCCAGCAGGGCCAGGCACCTTCAGTGAGCTGGGCATGGCCTCAGCCTTGTCCCACAGCCAGCTGGGGCCATGTCCCTTGAGGACAGCAGCTGCCATGGGGGTCCCATGATGGGGGTGCAGCCCCCAGCCCTGCCAGGACTCTCAGCCACAGGGAAACCAAGGCATAGGGCAGCTCTGGGGTGTCCTTGGCAGAGAGGAGCAGTCAGGGTGGTCTCTTGCTGGAGCAGGGAGTGGAGTGGAGGCTGAAGACAGGGGCAGATGGGGATTTGGGGATGTTGGGGTACCTTCAAGCATCGCCACAAGGCAGTGCAGGATGGGAGGGGTGGCCCTGTTGCCCCCTCAGCGCTCTCTCTTCTCTCCTGCACAGATTCCACAGACTTCCAGGAAAGCTTCGTCACCTCGGGGGTGTTCAGTGTCACCGAGCTCATCCAGGTGTCCCGAAGTGAGTGTCACCATAATGCCACAGCCCGTCCCCCTGGCTGCCCGGGCACAGCAGTGTCCCAAGGGCTCCCCTCCCTGCCAGACCCCCCTGACCCCCCTCTCTCCCCACAGCACCGGTGGTGACGGGCACGGGGCCAAACTTCTCCCTGGGGGAGCTGCAGGGCCACCTGGCCTACGACCTGAACCCCTCCAGCACCGGCATGAGGAGGACGCTGCCCAGCACCTCCTCCAGCGGGTGAGTGCTGGGGGTGTTCAGCCTGGAGAAGAGAAGGCTCTGGGAAGACCTGAGAGCCCCTTCCAGTGCATAAAGGGGTTCCAAGAGAGCTGGAGAGGGACTTTACACAAGTGCCTGGAGGGACAGGACAAGGGGGAATGGCTTCCCACTGCCAGATGGCAGGGTTAGATGGGATATTGGGAAGGAATTCTTCACTGGGAGGATGGGGAGGCCCTGGCACAGGTTGCCCAAAGCAGCTGTGGCTGCCCCATCCCTGGAAGTGTCCAAGGCCAGGTTGGACGGGGCTTGGAGCAACCTGGGCTAGTGGAAGGTGTCCCTGCCCATGGCAGGGGGTGGGATGAGATGAGCTTTAAGGTCCTTCCAACCCAAACCATTCCATGATTCTGTGACCCTTCCCTGCCCCCAGGAGCAAACGGCACAAGTCGGGGTCCATGGAGGATGACATTGACACCAGCCCGGGGGGCGAGTACTACACCTCCTCCAACTCCCCCACCAGCAGCAGCCGCAACTGGACAGAAGACATGGAAGGGGGTAGGTGTCACCTCCTCACTGGTGCCCTCCCGCTGTCCTTGGGCCCCATCCTGCTCCCAGCATTCCACAGGTGGCACTGCCAGACCCCCATGTAACCACAGGCACTGTCCGTGTCCCAGCGTCCCTATGAGCCCTCAGGTCACAGCACACACTGGCTGTGGAGGCTGTGGTGTCACCCTCGAGCCCCCCCGAACATCCCTGCTTCTCACTGGGGTCTGTGGGGTTGCTGTAGAGCCCCCTGATTTAGGCACAGGCTCTCCATGGGTGCCCAGGTGCCTCCATAGCCCCCCACTTTGGGCATAGGCTCCCTTTGGGGCCTGCAGAGTTGCTACAGAATGCCCCCCATTTTGGCACAGGCTCTTGCTATAGGGTCATCTCAGCCTCCAGACCCACAGCAGCCTCCCCCAGCCCCACAGCAGCCTCCCCCAGTCCCACACTATCTCCCCCAGCCCCACGCTGCTGTGGACAGCTTTCTGGCTTGGCGGTTTTTTTCCCCTTCCTGTCTAGACAGCCCCAATTAGCTGTTCATTAAGAAAAGGGGGGGCTGGGCTAATTAAAGAGATGCTGCAGGGCTGGCACAGCAGCTCCCACGCCCCGAGGTGCAGGCAAAGGAGCTGCTCCTCTTCCTCCTCCTCCTGGCTCTTCTCCTGCCTCCCCCAGCAGTGGGGTGGGCTCTGCAGCAGCCCCCACAGCCTGCCAAATCCTTGGGGTGCCCAGCTGGGGGGCTGGGGCCACGGATCCTCTTGGAGGGTGGTTTGGGGGAAGCGGGTCCAGCTCGAGCACTGTGCCCCGTGTGCACGGGGAGTGTGCCCCATCCTGCCCCATGGGGGTGGTGATAGAGGGCAGATGGGGGCAGAGGAGGTCCTGGGGAAGGTGTAACCCCCTCCCTAAAGCAGTACGTGGAGGATGGAGGGAGCTGTGCCAGGGTATCTGTCCCCACCGGTGGCCTGACCCGGGCAGGGGTGAGGGGGGCCGGCAAGGGGGGCACAGCTGTGGCAGCAGGGAAGGGGGGGGGGTTGGCAATCCCGTACGGGATGTTCTGGGAAATCCTCCTAACGCCCGGCTGAGAACGAGCTAAACCCATTACCGGGGCCGGGCCAAATGGCCGGAGCTAAAGCCACGGCGACGGGGGATTAACGCGCCCGCCGGCCCCCCCACCCGGCCCCGCGCCCTGCCGTGCCCTCGGGGACCCGGGCACCCGGTGCTCCCAGGGGTCACCCCCCCAACGGCACCTTCCAGCCTCCCCAGGAGCTCCTGTGGCCCCCAGCCCCCTGTGCCAGGAGAGGTGGGTGCCCAGTGGAGGCTGCAGGGTCACGGGGGCACATGTGAGGGCACCCACTGCTGCACCCGAGGTGGGCAAACACACACACACACACAGAGCTGTGTGCACCCACAGGCACACGTGTGTGCGCTTGCACACACAGATGCAGCGACACACACATGTACACACGTGCATGTACACACACTGGGGTGCGTGCAGCCGTGCTGGTGCACACACGTGATCATGTTCACATGCACACACGTGTGCACAGGTGCATGTGCACACTTGTGTGCTGGAGCACACACGCCACGTGCATGTGTAGTACACACCAGAGGTTCCCCCACTCGTGCACACCCTCCTGCATGGGCACAGCACACACACACACACACTTAGGCCACACACCCTCCCCATGCCCACCCTGACCCCAGGGTGCCCCTTGCCCCCGAATGAGCTTCCCAACCCTGCACTGGACTGGCAGCAGCCCCAGGATTCGGGGTCCCAAAGCGGGTCCTGACTCTGCACCCACGTTCCCCAGGCATCTCCCCCACCGTGAAGAAGACAGAGATGGACAAGTCCCCGTTCAACAGCCCATCGCCCCAGGACTCCTCGCCTCGGCTGAGCAGCTTCACGCAGCACCACCGTCCCGTCATCGCCGTGCACAGTGGTGAGTGTCCCGCCAGGGAAGCCGAGGCACGGAGCGAGGGCTGAGCGGGCAAGGGGCTGGGGCAGCTGCCAGCGAGTGACACAGGTGTGTGTCCCCTTTTGCTGTCGCCTGCAGGTATCGCCCGAAGCCCGCACCCGTCGTCTGCGCTGCATTTCCCCACCACCTCCATCCTCCCCCAGACGGCCTCCACCTACTTCCCGCACACGGCCATCCGGTACCCGCCTCATCTCAACCCGCAGGACCCGCTCAAAGATCTCGTCTCGCTGGCCTGCGACCCGTCCAACCAGCAGCCCGGACCGGTAAGGACCCAGCCCCGCTACCGCACCCGTTGCCCACCTCGCCGCGGGCACCGGGAGCTGCTGCCAGCCGGGCTGCCCGAGGAGGGTCCCCTGGACCGGCTGCCACCGCCACCATCACCGCCACCGCCGCACTGGGGAGTCGGGGTGCTCGGATGGCACTGTGGGGTGTTCGCTGGGGCTGAGCTCCGGCCTTGCCGCGCGTTGGTTCGGGAGCGTTGTCGCTGCGCCTGCTCCGCGTTGGCACCGTGTTCCTCCGGGGATGGAAGTGCCATCCCCCGGCTCAGCATGGGGCACCAGAGGTGCTGGTGTGCTGGGGCTGAGCCGTCAGCCGGGGCTGGGGTGTGTGGTGGGAGCAGGGGGACTGGCAGGGGTGTGTGACATCACCCAGAGCCACCAGCGTGCCCGGGAGAGCAACGGGCTCGGCGTCCCCGACTGCCTGCACAGCCCAAGGGTGACCCGTCAGCTCCTCACTGCGCCGTGTCCCCAGCGTCCCCACGGGGGTGGCAGGGCCACACTGTGCTGCTGTGGGCCTTCCTTTGCCCCAGCACCCCACACACCCGACGTCCAACAGACACAGCACCCCACACCCCACACACAGCACTCCCCACACACAGCACCCACTGCACCCCACACCCCCAGCACCCCACACCCCACGCAACCAGCACCTTGCACATGCAGCACCCAGTGCATGCAGCACCCCAAGCCATCATCCCACACACCCAGTACCCCACACAGTCCATGAAGGGAGCACAAAGCTGGGGGTCAGGGGTGTCTGCATTCCTACTTCCATGGCCCTGCTGTGCCCCACTCTGTCCCCCTGGATGCACAGCTCTGGGGAAGCCCCCCTGACCTCTGCCCACCACCCATCTGTCGCCCCTCACTGGTGAGGTCTGATGCCAGGATGAGGGGCATGGCTGCTGTTCCCCCGTGCAGTGGCCCAGTGCTGGGCTGATGGACACCGGACCGGGAGCAGCCACTGTGGAGTCGGGCACAGGGCACTGCCACAGGAGCCTTTGAAGGCCCCTGCGTGCCCCTGGCAGCACTTCAAAGGCCCCCCCGCTGCTGCAGAGAGGAGGATCCAGTGCCCCAACTCGAACGTGTGCCACCACGGGGCACGGTCCCCCTGGGGCATGGCCCCCACAGGCCCCCCGGACCCTCCCGCCCCGCTGTGATTTCCCACCTGCCGCCGGCGCCGACCGTTCAGGGCTGCTCTGAGACCCACCAAACTCATGTGTGCAGTGAGGGATGCCCCGTGCCCGTGCCGGGGGGCTCCCCGGGGCTCCCCGGCCGTGCTGCTGTGCGCCTGCGTCCTAATGGCTTGTGCTGTTTGTTTTTTGTCTGTGTTGTCCCCAGTTAAATGGAAGTGGTCAAGTGAAAGTGCCCAGCCACTACCTGCCCACGCAGATGCTGGCGCCGCCACCTCCCCCCGGCATGCCCCGCTTGGCCGTCTCTCCTGACACCAAATCCACCACGACAACTTCCGAGGGAGGGACGACCTCGCCGACATCACCCAGTAAGCACCCGCGGCGCCCACCCCGCTCCCCGGCCCGGCCGGCCCCCTCCTCTCGCAGCCCCCCCAGGGTGTCCCCCCTGTCCCGGCGCTGGGGGGATGTTGGCGGAGGTGGCCTCCCCGCAGCCGGGGAGAGGGCGGCAGCTGGCACGCCATGAGTTTGCTGGGTCTCAGGCAGGTCGGAGCGGGCAGGGTTTTGTGGTGGCTGCCCAACAAGGGGGGGTCCCGTGCTGGTCCCAGGGACCAGCCCGAGCCCCACCTCCCTCTGAGCACAGCAGAGCCCCCGCGGGGCTCCCCAGACCAGTGTCCTGCCCCACGCCCTGGTGTGGGCAGTGCTGTGGGGAGGCTGTGCCCTCTCCGTGGCTGTCACCCCCCTGCAGTGGTGGCAGTGCTACCCAGGACCAGCTGGCCCGCGGGTGGCACTGGGACTAGGAACAGTGTGCCTGATGCGCCGCGTGGGCTGTCGTCCTCTCGCTACCACAGGGGTCCCTGGTGCTGGGGACCCCGGTTTGGTTGGGGATGTGAAGTGACGCTGGTGCAGGGACTGCGTGTGTGACCCCCGGAGCGCTTGGCTGGTGGCACCTGGGGGTCTTCGTTAGTGTAGTGGCTGACAAACTCTTGCCCTCCACTCCTCCTCAGGGACCATCGGCGCCTTGGCCGGGAGGATTTTGGGGTGCTGGGCCCAGGGACCAGAGGGGAGCTGGTGTTGCCCCCAGACTGGCACTGGGGCACGTGTCGCGGTGGTGGGACGCTGTGCCGTCGCTGCACTCTGTGAAGGGGTTGTTCTTGTTCCTGTCCTGCAGTGCCAATGGGAAACTGGTACCCTGAGTGGCTGCCATGTCCCCACAGGGTCGAGTCCTGCAAGATGCCACTGTCCCCGGGGAACAGGCCACAACAGGGTGCCACCAGCTGGCCGTCTGGTGTGGCGGTCCTGTGGCGTGGAGGACACAAGGCGTGGCGGATCTGGAGGGGACATGGGACATGACATGGGATGTCCTGGCCGGTGATGGGCTCACAGCCAGGGGGAGGGACGGAGCAGTTCCGGTTCCCCCAGGCTCTTGACAGGATGTGTTTGGAGGACACTGGCTGTCCCCAAGGGGTGCAGTTGGCTCCAAGTCCCCCTTCCCCTCTGGCAGCACCGCATCTCCGAAGGGGCTGAGCCCAGGAGCTCAGCGGGGCTGGGGGTCCCACTGCTGGACCCTCAGCTGGGAGGTGGAGGTGGCAATGGAGTGACACATCCGAGTGGAGCTGGTGGCTCCCATCACACTGGCCCCGTGGCAGCTCAGCTCAGGAAGCCACAGCGTGGGCACGGCAGGGAGCACCCGTCTGTGCCTGTGCCCCGCGGCACCGCGCCCCCCAACCTGCCATCACCCCGAAACCGCGGGCGGCACCGACCGGGCACAGCACCCCAGGGGCACAGCACCCCTGGGGCACAGCACCCCTGGGGCACAGCACCCTGGGCTCCGCTCACCTGCCGTCAGGCCACAGCCAGGGACGGTGCCCAGGACTCCCGTCCCAGCAGCGCCAGGGAGAGGGCCGGGCCTGGCCCCGGGGGGGACGATGGCAGTGCCACCCACAGCCCCGTTAATGAGCTCTCGTTTGTTCCCCAGCCTACTCTGCACCAGGCACGCCCCCTGCGAACCGTACCTTCGTGGGATTAGGACCAAGGGATCCTGGGAGTATCTATCAGGCACAGGTGAGAGCGGGGATGCTGCTGGGGGGACACTCCTGCCCTCGCCCTGGGCACCCTCGCCGTGGCATCACCGTGGGCATCACCGTGGGCATGGCCAGTGCAGGCATCATCATCGTGGCTGTTGCTGCCATGACATTGCTGACGTGGGCAGCCCTGCTGTGGCATCCTCACCGTGGCATCACCGCCGCTGCCGTGGCATTGCTGCTGTGGGCATCGCTGCCAGCATCACTGTTGTGGGCATTGCCACTGTGGCATCACTGCTGAGGGCAGTGCCAATGTGGGTATAACTTCCCTGGGCATCACTGCTGTGGTATTGCCACCACTGGCACGGCCACTGCAGGCACTGCTGTTGTGGGTGTCCCCACCATGGCATCCCTGCCAAGGCATTGCTGTAGTGGCATCACTGCCATGGGCGTTGCCACCATGGGCATCACCACTATGGGCATCACTGCCATGGACACCATCACTGGGGGATTGTTTCCACGTGCAATGCCACCGTGGGCATCACTACCTTGGCACTGCAGCTCTGGCACTGCTGCTGTGGGCTTTGCTGCTATGGGCATCACTGCCTTGGCATCACCACTGTGGCCCTGCTCCCATGGGCATTGCCACAGTGGCATCCCCACCGTGGACACCCTGTGCCAGGGCCTTGGCACTGCTGGTGGCTCAGGGCCACCACGAGTCCTTCAGAGGGAGGTCACTGCCATGCTCCAGTTGTGCCCTGCCTGGCACCACCTGGCACCACCCTGCCCAGGTGCCCACGGTATCCCCAAAGTAGGAGCACCAGGACTGTGTGCCCCTCTCTGTGTGGGCACAGGCCCCTACCCTTGCTCAGCTGTGCCCGTGGCTGCTCCAGCTGCACTGGGATGTCGTGTGCGCCTTTCCAGGGGCTTCCCGTTAGTCCCAGGTGTTTTCTAACTGGTGGTTTGGGAGCCAGCCCTGGCAGTGCAGGCAGTGCCGTGGTGCCAGGGCAGGGGTGCCAGCTCCCGGCCTCACCTGTGACACGAGTGGTCTGTACTCAGCAGTCCCTGCATGGGCAGGAGAGGTGGCTGCAGCCTTGCCCGGTGGGTGACAAGGTGACGGTACAACAGGATGGGGGTGTGGATGGTGCTGTGCTGGGACACCCTGGGGTGCTGCCCTGGCTGAGGGGGAGTACTCAGGGTGCTGAGCTGTGCCAGAGCGTGGGCACTTGGGGACTCTGAGCTGTGCCACAGGGAACCTGAGGGTGCTGTGCTGTGCCAGGGTGCAATATTTGGGGACCATGGGCTGGGACACTTGACCGTGCTGTGCCGTTCCAGGGGACAAACACTGGGGACCCGGCTCTGCCCACAGCCCCCTGCCCTGCCTCAGTTTCCCCAGTCCTACACGTGGGCAGAGCAGCGTGGGGTGGGCACCCCAAGGGCGTTGGGTCCCTAAAAAGGAGACCTGGAGCAGTGCTGGGAGAGCCTCGGGGGAGCAGGGGGCTGCCAGGGTCCCTGTCTGGACCCGGGGGTCACGGCCACTTGCAGTCCCAGAACCTCCAGGTGTCCCTGTCCCTGTGTGTGGGTGTCCAGTCACACTCCAAGAGTCTCCCCAGGACTCACGGTTGCCCTGCCTGGGGAAACTGAGGCACAGGGGAAGGAGGTGGTGCCCCGGGATTGGCAGCTGAGACCTGCCACGCTCTGGTCATGTGTGGCAGGGCCGGGAAGGGTTAAGGGAAGCAGAGGCCCCGAGCTGTCTCGTTTCCAACGGAAACCAGACATGAGGTAATCGGGAATGAACTTGAACTTGGGGCTGGGGGGGAAACAATGGGAGGGTGGCGGGGGGCCACCCCGCGGGGTCCCCAGCTGTGCCACCCCCCTACCTGTCCCCGAGCGACACCGTTCCCTGGGCAGCGTCGCCTTTGCCGCGGAAGTGCAGAGGGACCGGCCACCGAGGGGAACGCGAGCGGCCGCCGTGCTGAGGACGGACAAACTCAGTGCGGGAGTGGGGACTCCGGCCCCGTGCGCCGAGCAGGGGACAGCGCGGGGACAGCTGTGCCGGGGCGGGGCGGGACCGGCCGGGGACGGAGCGGCTCCGCGGGGCAGAGCACTAACGCCGGCCTCTCTCCTCTCTCCCGGCAGTCCTGGTACCTGGGATAACCGCCGCCGTGCCGCCCCTTCGCCTCCCTTCTCCTCTGCTTTAGGCACCCCCAGAGGAACATCCCCGTCCCCGAGCACCAGGCCCAGCCTTGCGGTGACGACGGAGAGCGCGGCCTCACGACGACGACGACGACGACGACGACAAGCAAAACCCACACCCGAAGGAAAGAGCGAGGGAAAGGAAGAAGGAAAAGGGTCAAACTGTTTTAAAAAGGAAACAAACAAACAAACAAAACAACAACCCATCCCAGGAGGACCTTCCCCCCCACACCCCAGCGATGCGCCAGAAAACAAAGAAACAGGAAAAAAAAAAAAAGAAAAGAAAAAAACACTATTATTTACCCCGTCGGCCGGCGCCGCGCTGAGACCTGACACAACTCGTGCCAGCAATGCCTCCCGGAGCGGCTGCAGGGCCGCGGTGCCGAGCCCCGCCGGCCGCTCGCCGGATATGCAAACGGCTTTGACTCTCTCGTTCTTGCCTCTATGTGAGTAGAAAAGATCAAAAAAAAAAACCCTCCGCCGCCCCCCCCGGCCCCACGCAGACTCTCGGGGGGCCCCGGGGCTGGGGTGGGGTGCGGCGGGGTGGGCTGAGGGGACCCTCCTGCCACCCGAGCCCCGCGGACCGGCCGCGCCCGCGGTCAGGGCAGGTGATGCTCCGCGCCCCGGGGGTGGGTGGCATCGTGCTGCGGTGACACGGTGACACGGTGGCACGAACGGGTGTCACAGGAGGAGGGGGCTTTTGGCCGCGGAGGGTGCGCGGGCACGGCCAGAAACGGTTGTGGCGGCGGTGACACCCCGGTCCCCGCGGGGACACAGCGTGGGGACCGTCCCAGCACGGCCCCGACAGGACCCGGGCGGCCACCGTCACTCCGGGGCACCGGTCGCCGTCCCTCTGGTCGCCTTCCTCCCCCCCCAGCCCGCAGCAGCCCCGGCCCCGTGTGTCCCCACGGGTGTCCCCACGGGTGTCCCCCGGCGTGTCCCCCGGCGTGTCCCCGGGCCCGGGGGGGGCCGTGGGGCCGGGGCGGGGGGGGGCCCGTGCGTCCGTGTGTTTGAGCTATGCATTCCTGTGGACAGGTACCAGGTGGGAGGCAGGAGAGGGTGCGCTCGTGTTGCACATTTTGTAGGAAATGCACTTTTAAGAGGGAATCGTCAAAAAAAAAAAAAAAAAAAGAAAGAAAGAAAGAAAAAA